AGCCACTCTCATTTCATGTACATATTATGTATGGCTGCTTTCTCGCAACAACGGCAGTTAAGTAATTGCCACAGAAACTGCATGGATCTCAAAGCCTAAAATATGGCCCTTGACAGAAAAGGTTTGCTGACCCTGAGCTATATCAAAGAAAATTTAAAGCTTCCAACTAACTGCTGAAAAGTCACAAATATTTGTGTGGAATTGTTAACATGTTACACATCACTCTCAGATGAATCTTCCTAAAACACAACTCAAATCATGCCTCTCTCCTACCAAAAACATTTTGAATACTCTGCCTATAAAGAAAAGACTGAAATACTTAGGTCCCGCACAGTCAAGGCCTCTACCTTCCATTCCAACCTCATCTCTCAAACCTCCCTTCCTGTACCCTATATTCCAGATGACTTATTTGCTGTCCCTTCACATTCTCTGTGTATTCCCACTATATGAAATGCCCTGTCCTGAATACAGTGCAATGCAGTAAAATAAGCAGGGCCTTTAGAGTCAGGTCTGGGTTCTAATTCAGACCCTTGCCCTTATTAGCTGAGAAAGTTACTTAGCACCTATGAACTTCAATTTTCTCATCTATAAAATCAGAATAATAATCCTTACCTCATAAGGCTGTTACAATATTTTAATGCCTGGCACATGGAAACAGCTAAACAAGCGATTAGTGTTATTAATTCTGTCCAATTCCAATGCTACTTCCTCCTTTGCTTTTCCTTATCCTCCCACCAGGCAATGAGCTCTTCCTCTAATGTCATGTATCATAGTATCCACCTGTCCACTCTTCAGGCTCTGATCCATACCTACTACCTTAATGATAGTGATCAACGTCTTGTCTCCCATACTAGTCTGGGAACTCCTTGGGGGCAGGATCCATCTGTGACTCACTCTTACATCTGTGACAGCCCTGAGAACAATGGCTTGAATACAGTTTGTGCACAAGTATTTACTGAATGAATGGTATGTGTTCACTGAACTACATATAACACTTATTAGGTGTATCATGTTGCGTTGGGATATAAGTAAGGGCCACATCACTTGTTCTGAATAATACCTAGCCTGAGCGCTTAGAAAATATTCAAAAAACATCAGAGACCAAAACTGCCAACATAAAAACAAAGGACAAACAGAAAAGTGGGCAATATATTCAACTTTCAGAGTGATGGTGTTTTTATTTTCCATTAGTTTAAGTTATAATCCTCATCTTTTACTCTAACAATTATAAATAGATCACATTTAAAAGGAGGGAATCAACTTCTTCCCCAAGGGAGACATGTTGAATATCATTCATAACATCAGTTACCTCTGAGCACAGATCTAAGTAAATTGAAATATTGAAATAAGTCCTACATTTAATGAACCAATCATCACACACAGTTGTGACTAAAACCTTATCTAGAGCTCTGTACAAAATCAGACACAAGCAGGGTAAATTTAGAAATCAAGTTCCACCTAGGTTAACATCTTTAACAAAAACTGCAGCTGGTTTTTGTAGCATGATGCACCAAGTTTCATTGGTTCCTAGAAACACTAGCCTTTTGATTTGATGGTCAATTTAATAAGTTAAATAAAAAGATATCAATCATTCTTCCTGAATTTCAATGCCAGACTCCAAATGCCAAAATGAATCCACATACATGAATATAAAATTAATTGCCGAGAAATGCCAATGTAAGGAGTGACATTTTCCAACAAGATGACAGCAAAAAATATCTGTTTCCAACTACTTCTGCTTATGCATTTCTCTTCAGAAACCTACTGAAAAGTACACATTCACCAGCAGATATATTAACTTGAAGATGTATTATCAACAACTTAAAATGTTTAGCCATTTCCATTTACAAAGCGCTTTCATAATACATTAACTTCTTTGATCCTCACAACAACCCTGTGAGGTGGGTATAATTACCCCCATTTTACAGATGAATTAAGTGATTTGTGCCATCTTATCCCCAGATGGTAAAGCCAAGATTGTAACCCAGGTCTTCTAAGTCCAATTCCAGCATTCCCGTTTCCTTTTTCATACACACAAAGCAAGAACATACCTCTGTTTTGCTTCCACCCCACTTACTCTCAAAAAGTCACCCAGCTAGCATAGTGTGAGGAAGCAGAGTGGGAGTATAAACATTACTATGGTCAAGACAGTGGGAAACATCTCACCTTTGCCTCTAGCTAATCATGTTTTTAGAATCATGCAACATTAAGGAAAAAAATGAAGTGTCGGTTAGCTGCTGGGTTTTATTTCCTACCTCTCATATTTTTGACTTTCTATGTATACTTAGAAACAGAAAAACCACCATAAATATAAAGAAGCCCTTCCGGGCCAAAGTATCTCTCGGATCTTTTGCCCATATGCAAAGGTTGAGGCCTGCATAATTGTTGATTCTTACCACTTTCAGTCTCAGAAAAGGAAAGAATAAAAACCACTACTTGCCCCTAGCTTACAAAACTTTTGCCCTTCCTCAAATTTTTTATTTAACTGTTTATTTTTCTTAAGAATCTTAGAGCCAACCCTGATGGCATAGCAGCTAAAGTTCATGCTCCACTTCAGCAGCCCGGGTTCAGTTCCCAGGCGCGGAGCCACACCACTCGTCTGTCAGTAGCCATGCTGTGGCGGCAGCTCACATAGAAGAACTAGAAGGACTTACAACTAGAATATACAACTATGTACTGGGGCTTTGGGGAGGGGAGAGGGGAAGAAAAGAGAGGAAGATTGGTAACAGATGTTAGAAATCTTTCCCAGCAAAAAAAAATTAAAAAACAAATGCACTGGTCTCTCAGCAGGTTACCTTCACTCCAAAACGCTTAAGAAAAACAAAAAAGAATCTTAACCTCTCTGATGTGCCTTAGCTGGTCATTTTTTAGCACAAACACATAATACACTTCACAAAGCCACTCCCTTCCCAGGGCTTATGATGAGCTTCATTTGACTGTAGATACTGCACCAAGCGATTTACTGTAATAAGTAAATAAAAAGAAAATCCAAACATTCCCCCTTTTCCTTTGAGTGAACCTTCACCCTTCTAACTACTTTTGTGGCACAACCTGCATATCTTTAACCTCTCAATGAACTCTATTAAGTGGCAACACACTCCAAATCCTGGCCTATAAGTCTCTAAGGATCAGCAATTCAAATACCCCATCTTTAAGGTGCTGCCAAGAGTTTATTCTTGTTCAGGCCACAATAAGACAAACCATTAAATGATCAAACTCAATCAAATGACCAGCAGGAACTTGGACAATCTATATATTCTGCTCAAAGTGGACAGACAACATGTGCAGGGAAAGCACAGGCTCCAAGGGGCAAATCAGAAGAGCTGCAGAACAAACACCAGCTGATAGCAGTTACCGTTGCACTGCCACTCCCAAGCATTTCTCCCTGCTCTTGACTGGCTGCATCTGCCTTAAGAAGGTCCCCACACTGGACCTACCCACAGTATTTTTGGGATAAATCCATTCTGAACAAAGTTATAAGTATACAGGACATATTTGCCAGTGAATTTTACTTTATTTTTCACAATTATCTTTCAGTCAAGAAGAGAAAAAATTATCACTCCACCCAATCACTATCCTCCATTTTTCTAAGTATATATTTGGCACAAAGGGTTGGCTTGCCTGCACTCTTGTTGAAGATGTTTATTATTCTTTCTCTTACTCCAAGCCTTCTGCCAACTAGCAGAAATAAAAACTCCACACACAGTAGGGAAGCAGGGGGAGGGTCGTACAGCTGTCAGCTGTGACCCCTGGGAATGCCAAGCTAGATGAGGTTCCTTCAGCCCGGTGGCTCCCAATCCTAGCCCTATAATTCGCCCCCTGGGGGCTGAGCTCCTTGTGCCAGGGACTAGGCAGGTCTTTGTTCCACCCTTAAGCAGAATTCAGTGGCATGTGAGGCCATCCAATAACACTGAGCTTAGACTAACCTTGACCACAACCATAGCTCAGTAACTTAAAGGAAAAAATCAGTGAGGCAAAGGTGCTTTCCTTAGAAAATAACTTGCCATGGAGAATTTTTTACTGCCCCCACACTTATCTGTAGCAACCAGAGGCCAGGACAAAACCATAACTGCTGGCCTTAATTGTCAATTATTTAGGAGGTGCTGCAGCAGTTCCTTGGTCAGCTTAGATATCCCCTTGCCCAAGACATGGGTGCTAAGCATGTCCAACGGCACAGGCAGATTGTCCCTTCAGAACAACAATCTGCCGAGTAAAGACAGTTGCAGAGCAAGAGGGTCCCTGGCACAGATACACATCCTGTATTAAAGGATCAAGGCTGGGGGCCCGCCCGGTGGCGCAAGCAGTTAAGTGCGCACGCTCCGCTGCGGCCGCCCAGGGTTCGCCTGCCGGCATCCCGGGAGCGCACCAACGCACAGCTTGGCAAGCCATGCTGTGGTGGAGTCCCATGTAAAGTGGAGGAAGATGGGCATGGATGTTAGCCCAGGGCCAGTCTTCCTCAGCAAAAAAAGAGGAGGATTGGCAGATGTTAGCACACGGCTGATCTCCTCACAAAAACAAAAGAAAAAAAGAAAAAAAAGATCAAGGCTATGGGGCCTGCCTGCAGTGGTTAAAGTTTCTGCACTCTGCTTCAGTGGCCAGGGATTTGTAGGTTTGGATCCTGGGCGCGGACCTACACAGCACTTATCAAGTCATGCTGTGGCAGGCGTTCCACATATAAAGTAGAGGAGGATGGGCACGGATGTTAGCCCAGGGCCAATCTTCCTCAGCAAAAAGAGGAGGATTGGCAACGGATGTTAGCTCAGGGCTGATCTTCCTCAAAAAAAAGATCAAGGCCACTAAAGGGAAAGGCCCAAAGTTCTAGTTGTAGCCACCACCTTCCACTTCTACTGACCCCACTTCCGAAGTGTCCGGAAACCCATTCACCTCAGAGACCTGGGCTGGGAATCACCCTGAATCCTTCCTTCCCCCTGCAGTATGGAAAAGTTTAAAGGCCAGAGCCACTGGCTCAGGGAAACAGTTCATCGAAGCCTTCCACTTACTTCTCATTGCGCTGATAAGCGCGTTGCCATCTTTGATCACATCTTTGATGAATTTATTGGTCCTCTCCAGCTCCTGTTCATAACACTTGAGCCTCTCACGGAAATCGGGGCTGTCCAGGTAGCAGTCGCTGAACTCCAGCGGGGGATGTCCCATGGTTCTGACGGCGGAGAGTGGAAGGAGAGAGAAAGACACAAAGACCAAGAGCATCAGTGGCAAATTAGGGGGCGTAGATGGCATAGATTGCGTGCAGGACCCGCTTAGGAAACTCCTAGCCTCCCTCCCTTTGGAGGACAGGTACCTGTTCCGATGAGACTCCTGGGGAGAGCTGGCTGGTCTGTACCGGAAACGGGAGGCCCGGCGATTGCTTCAGGTGACAAGGAGAGCTAACGCAGTCGGATCCCGGCGGGGTGCTGCCTAGCAAGCAGCATGCCCCCTAGGCATCGCCTCCCCTGACAGGCAGCAGAAACCGCAGCCGGGCTCGCCTCCGGAGACCGGCCAGATCCTTCCTGAGCAATTGCAAACGTGACACTTCGGCCCGCCCAGGGTGTAGGCGGGGGTGAGCGCTGGGGGTGGGAGCCGCCTCTCCTCACTCCTCGCTGGCGAGCTAGCTGAAGGTTTCCTTTTGCCGAAATCCACGGGCAACGCTGATTGCACTGTCCCCTCCCCCGGCTTAAAGCCAGCGCCTCTGCCCCGCCCCAGCGAAGCCCTTGTGCCGAGCCGGAGCGCTCGGGCTCCTTCAACTGTCTTCCTTGCACTCCAGGGTTTTGTTACCAGAGTCTTCCGGCTCCCACGAGTTCTTCCTGGTCCAAGAGAGCCGGCCTGCCGTTCTGTTAGGCGCTGGAGGAGTTAAGCAGTGGCAGCAATGAAACGTAGCCTTCCTCCATAATCACCCGAGCGGGAAGAGGAGGGCGACAGCGCGACGCACAATAGCTGCGGTAGCCCGGCGCTTTCCTACGGAAACTGGGGAGCAGTCAGCGCCCTAGGACTCCAGCTGGAAAGCGTGGCGGCCTGGGAGATGTAGTCTTTCCGTTTCACGCCCCATGACTCCTCCCTGCGATCTCCCCACCACCCAGCAAGGGCGGCTACTCTCCCAGAAAGGCCTTCCCAGCCTGCCCCAGGCTCGCCAGCTGGCCCAGCCTCGAGGGGTAGGTGCGCCACACTGAAGTTGACGTGGAAAGTTTCTGAAACTGGAGCAAGAACCCAAGAGTGATCGATTGTGAGAGGCCATCTCTCACTTCGCATTACTATTCGGCTGGATTGTTTATTCTTTTTCCTTTTTCTCTTTCCAGCCTCCCTTTGACCGACCAACTTGTTTTCCTCTTCCCTTTCCCATTTCTCCTGATCCTAGCGCTCTAATTCCCATGGGCCTTCGACCTGAAGGGTTGATTCCTACTCTAGGGTCTCTATGTTAAGCTCAGAGCCCCCAGCCAAAGAAAGGGAGGCTGTAATTAGGAGTTCACTTTTTCCTGAATAGGACCTCAGACTATCATACCTCATGGTTTTTGTGACCCAGCTCATTGAAGAGGCCATTGATTAAGCACATGATTTTCCATGTGTAAGTGGAAAACCTAAGAAGAGGATGTTATAAATTGTCTTGCAGCTTATCTAAGAGGCCTCTTGTCCATTGTCCATTGTAGGAGAACTGGGGTTACTCTTACAAGCAGCTGCTTTGAGATTAAGAGTAGCTAGGGGCAGGAGAATACTGTGTACATGAGCAAAAGGATCCATGCTGATTTTAGAGAAGTGTTTAGATTACATTGCCCTGTGAAGAAAGCCAAGAAAAGCCAGAACTGAAGGGAGTTATAAATAGAGTAACAATGGCTAACCCACCTGTACTAGTGTCCTATTGCTGTTGTAATAAATTACCACAAACTTGATGACTTAAAACAACACAAATGTATTATCTTACAGTTCTGGAAGTGAGAAATGGACCTCACTAGGCCAAAATCAAGTTGTCAGAAGGGCTGTGTTCCTTTCTGGAAGCTCTAGGGGAGAATCCATTTTCTTGCCTTTTCCAGCTTCTAGAAGCTATCCACATCCTTTGGCTCATAGCCCCCTTCCTGCATCTTCAAAGCCAACAATGGCTGATTAAGTCTCTCTGCCACTGCATCACTCTGACACTGACTCTCCTGCCTCCCTCTTTCACGTTTAAGGACCCACCGAATACCCAGGATAATCTCCCCATCTCAAGATCCTTAACTTAATCACATCTACAAAGTCCCTTTTACCATGTAAGGTAACATATTCAGTTTCCAGGGGAGGAACATTCTTCTACCTTCCACACAACCTATTATCCTATAAACCACCTCACTAATCCTCAAAACAATCATACAAGATTGGTATTATTATTATACCCATTTAAAGATTAGATAGGTGAGTTGAAGAGAGGTTAAGTGACTTGCCCAAGGACACACAGCTAGTGCTTAAACTTGAGCCTAGCCTGGCTGGTTCTAGAGGCACTGCTCTTAACCCCTACACTATATCACAGTATGGTAAAGAGTCCACTGAGGAAACACCCTCTGAAAATTAATAAGCAGCCACATCCCAGAGAAAGATTTTATTTCCTACTCTTTTTACCTTTATCTTTTTATTTTTATTTTACCTTATTTTATCTTCATTTCCTACTCTTTTTATCTTTATGAGAAAATGTCCAAAATGGGCTTTAAAAGCACCAAAGCAAGCACTAAGGGCAGGTATGAATGAATGAATGTATGGTCTTTCATTCTAGCAAGGTTCCCTATAGCATTCATTCATTCATTTGACAAGCATTTGTTCAACACCTGCTATATGCCTTGACTTATAGAGCCTACACCCATATTTTCATCACTATGAATATTACCATTGACACTATTTATGTTAAGTCCAAGTATGTTCATCTAACTTCCTATACTCAAGTGTTTTACAGTCATCTGTGTTATCCTTTGTCTAGGCAATGAAACTAAAATGCAAAGGCCTTGGACCAAATACCGAAGAAGAAAGATGGTGGAAATTATAACTCAGTCTTTCAGATAATAGCTGCATTAATTGAGCATTATCCTAGATGCTTTGCACGCATCATACCTAACCCTCAAAAAAACTCAATAGGATTGGGGTCTTCAAATTTTTATTCACATAACCCCTAAAAGAATTTTGAGAGGCTATGTACTCCCTCACACATCTTTAGGTTGACAGCTAAATTTTTTCATCATGTTTAAATAGTTGCAAAAGGCATAATTTCTAGCATACTATACATGTTGAAAATTTAAAATAAAGCTGTTATACTACTCTTTTAAAGATTTTCATTGGATTCTAAATACCAGGGCAATTTGATGCTCACCATCAAACATTAACACAAAACAAAACAAAAGTGTAAACTTTTCTTTAACCTTCAGAAAATGTACATTGTTCCTTTTTTCTCCTTGAAATAAAATATCCATTGCATTCTCCCCACAGAATTGTATTCTATCATAATATATTTTGGTACTTGAAAGTCCTCTATTGATCACCATGTTAAATTTATTTGCAACAAAATTATGTCCATAAGTAGAAATTAAATTATTTTTATTTCCTTGTGACCATAAGGCTCCAAGTATAAAAAGGCTTCTGGATTGAGTTATAACTGCAATTATTGTGCATAAACAAATGATAAAAATAGCATGAAGATATTATACATTGTGATTATTATTGTAAAACATAAAATTTTATCAGAAATGCATCATTTAGAGAGATGGGTGGAGAAGGAGTAAGTTGTAGAGCCTTGAGTTAAAGAAGATTCCTAGACATCAATATTTGAAACTGTTGCTTTGTTTAGTCCCAAGGGTTTTTACATCCTGAGTCAAAGTACCATAGTAAGATTTGTGACCTTTAAAATGAATGCTTTCCTTTTGAGATACTGGGGAAGGGAGATGGGAAAGGCAAACAGGAGGTGAATTCTCAGGCAAATAGCCTTTAGGAAATAGTACAAAAGGAAGTTGAGGATTTGGAAATTGGTTCCCTTTCAGTTTTACTCAGAATTACCAAAACTTATAAGGAACCAAGATGTCCTTCAGTAGGGAAATGGAAAAATAAACAGTGGTACATCCAGACAATGGAATATCATTCAGTGCTAAAAAAGAAATGAGATATCAAGCCGTGAAAAGACATGAGGGAACCTTAAATACACATATTGCTAAGTGAAAGAAGCCAATTTGAAAAGACTACATACTGTATGATTCCAACCATATGACATTCTGGAAAAGGCAAAATTATGGAGATGGCAAAAAGATCAGTGGTTGCCAGGGGGTGGGGGGTGGAGGGAGAGAGATGAATAGGTGGAGTACAAGAGGATTTTTAGGGCAGTGGAAATGCTCTGTATGATACTATAATGGTGGATACATGTCATCATACAACATTTTGTCCAAACCCACAGAATGTACACACCAAGAGTGAATCCTAATGTAAACTATGGACTTTGGGTGATGAGGATGTGTCAATGTAGGTTCATCAACTGTAATAAATGTGCCACTCTGGTGGGGGATGTTGATAATAAGAGAAGCTATGCCTGTGTAGGGGCAGAAGTATATGGGAAATCCTGTATCTCCCTCTCAATTTTGCTGTGACCCTAAAACTGCTCTAAAAAATAAAGTTTTTAAAAAATATTGGGGGAGATAAACCCCATTTTCCCCTGTTTCTTGTATGTCAAAGTAACATCACCTCCACAGTCTTAATACAGACACTATCTCTTTCCTAGGCAATCACTCCATTTCAGCTGTGATGTTGTGGAATGAACACTAAGATTGGAGCAATACAGGTAATACAGACCTGAAGTCGAGTCTAGCTCCACCCCTTAGAAGCTCTATGACCTTAAGCAAGTCACATGTAAACTCACCTTGGAATAATATCTCCTTGGAATAATGTCTTATTCACAAATTTTTCTAAGGCTTAACTGTAGATAATGTATGTGGAGTGCCTGGCACATAATAACTCCTCAATAAATGTTGGTTGAATCCAATGCTTTGTCATTGTTCTTGGTCTGATGGACAGAATCAGAGGCAGAGAGGAGTCAGATCACTCACAATGATATTCCTAGAAAAACATTACTATTTATATAACAATACAACTTGATTCCTGTTCTTCATCATCATATGAAAATAAAAAACCATACTCTGAGTAATTTACATTTCAACTTACATAGAAATGCTAGCCTGATTTGTGGTCTGGTTAATATGCTATCTCAACTTTCAGGACACTCACAGGGTCTGCGGCATAGCAACACAGCCAAGACTCTTTTTTGGGGTTTAAGAACCAGAAGCTGAAATCCTGGAGTTAATCATTTTATTGGATTATTCCAAGGTGGAGTTGCAGGACAGCTGTAAGTCTCAACACTATTCAGCTCAGGTTATCCAGGATAGGAGCTTATCAGCTTGATGTGTCTGTCTGTCCTTCACGCTGGAATCAGAACCATAACCCTTTAATCTAAAGAAGCAGATCAGCCCCCTATAAATTTCAAATTGCTTTCACAACTTGAAAGATATAAAGAGATGGAAAGCAAAGAAACCAGAAAAATGTTATAGATTTTTAGGAAAGGCAATGTAAGAAGAAAAGAAAACCCAATAAATATCCAACATTAACTTAATATGCCAGCGTCTGCTTCATCTCTCCCATCTGGGACCACAGTTAGCTTCATTAAAATATTTCTTTACAGTGCCTGTTAATCATTTGCTCTTCTCTACATACGAAAAAAAATAGAGAGAGAGTTCTCTTAAAAATGGTCTGGGAGCCTGGAAAGA